GCTCACCATCATCCATGCCCTGGAAACCTGATGTCACTACCTGGAGGCTACTCCCTACCAGTTTGAGATCTGGACAGATCATTCTAACCTCCAGTATTTCATGAAAGCACAGAACTTGGACTGATGCCCAGTCAAAACCACAAAAACCTCCTTGACACTCATTGAGGCTGTGTGCATGGGAATTTTCCAAATATGCTCCTTGACACTGCATGACTTGTAATAGATAGTTCATTTTGCTTCACCATACTTTACATGTTTCACAACATGCAATGGCACTGTAAAGCCTGTGAAGCATGTGAAGCAGTCTTTCTTTCATGTGCTTCGCAGGCTTTACACTTGCTTGCTATTCTAGATACTTCACAAGACCATGACCATGGTATGTACAAGGTTGATTATACTATTGACAAGCATGATATAGCGATGATTGGATATCTTTCCAGCATGCCAACAGACCAGACCATGGCATAGAGCTCCCCCAACCTCTCAATAGTGATGAGGAGGCCCTTAGGGACCTCCACTTGAATGTCAAGCTCAATGATCTTTGCATAGCACTGTCATATATACTGGCAATGTGTACTGCCTCCCTCAACCATCCAACTGCATGTCTCAGTTCAGATGCACTCAACTGACTATGCAATCCACCACAGGAGCCAGCCACCTTTCATAATGACAAGGTACTCATATTGGCTATCAAACTGTACATTGGCCTCAACCACACAGATGGTGACTACAAGACAGCATGCAAGGTGTTCCAGGAACATGCTGGATTCGAAGAATTCTCTAGCCTACACCAGATCAAACAAATCACTGCTGAGCTTAGCAGGATTGAGGCAGTTGTCCATGATATGTGCATTAACTCCTGTGTTGCACTCACAGGCCCATTTTCAATGCAAGATACATGCCCAGAATGTGGGGAAGGACACTACAATCCAGCCATCCTTCAAGACACTCAAGGCTCTATTAAAAAAACCCATAAGCAGTTCAGTGTAATCCTGCTTGGACCACAACTGCAAGCACTCTACCAGGACCCTCAGAAGGCTATGGACATGTGATATTGTCAAGAGTACACTCACTCTGTGCTCAAACAGCTTGCACAGTCTGGCAGCATCCAAGATGTTTACAATGACTTTTTTGATGGCTCAGATTACCTTGAGGCAGTCCAAAATGGTTAAATCAAGGATGATGACATTGTTCTCATGACTCCAGTAGATGGAGTGCAATTATACCACAACAAGCAGTCTGATTGTTGGATTTCGATATGGGTTGTCCTTGACCACTCCCCTGAAACTCAATACCACAAGAAATACATGCTCCCAAGCATTGTCATACCTGGGCCAAACAAACCAAAGAACCTGGATTTATTCCTGTTTCTGAGCCTCTTCCATGTTGCAGCCCTTCAGAAAGAAGGTTTGCCAGTATTGGATGCATCTACCAATGAATATTGTTGCTCAAATTTATTTATTGCAATTGGTACTGCTGATGGCCCTGGTCTCGCATATCTGAATGGCTTAGTTGGACACCATGGAAAGAGTGGGTGCTGTCTTTACTGTGGGCTTCAAGGTTGACACAATGAGGGTGCATCACACTACTATCCAGCACTCAAGAAACCTCACAACTTTGACATTGTCAGGTCAAACCACCCAGATGTCGACCCACATCAGTTTGCCATGTGCTCAGCATCCAAGTACTGGGAAAACCTTATCTATGTCCATCACGACCATGCATTTGTCCTAGGTCCTCACTCACTCTGCACCCCTTTCTGCTGGTCATTCACTCACTCTGCACCAACTCCACCCATCCCCTGATGTTTATGAGTCATCTCTGCTCTGACTGCTGTCAGACTTGTACTGCTCTCCTACCGGACCACACAGGCCATTCTCTGAGGAGTCATGTGACTACCCTTCAGACTTCTCCCTGACAGCACATGATCAGGTACTCCACAGTGCATGCACCACATGGTCCAGCACCTGGACTGTTTCCTCTTTGGGATGTTCTGTGTTACCTGTTTGTGTGTCCTCTGTCTACCCTTCATTCATTGTCTGGGAAGTTTTACTTGAAATTTTATGAGTCTCCATATGTCAGTTCTGATTCTGATTACTGTACCTCCATAGTAGTATAAAAGCATGTATTGTACTCCACTGTTCTTCAGTATGAATATTGACTTAGTTCCTACTCCCTCTATCTCTGTCTTCTGCCCATCAGAGTTACCTCCAACTGTCCATCTGTACTCTCCCTCTGAAATACAAGGGCTGAGATCATGCAAGGGGGTAGTGCATGAGCTAAACCTGACACCCTCACTCTGCTCCACCTTTATCTCAGCAGACTTTGTTCCTGCCAACACTCTGCCAGTTGGAGTTCTGTTCTTTCTGTCAGACTTGCTTCCAAACCTCTCCCCAGACCTTGTCTAGCATCAGAGTTGGTCAGAGTAGGCCCAGACTTGACAATGTCTTACAGTCTCCCAATGAAACACAGTACACATGGTGATGACTGGAGACTGGTATATCAAAACCCAGCATATTCCTCAGATTCCATCCAAGCAGATCGTTTGGTGTCCCCAAGTGCTTTGGCTCTGACATCATGCACCTGCTGTCTCTCAACATACCTGACCTTCTCATCCCACTCTTGTGCAGTACATTTGAATGTCAATCTGGTGATAATAAGGCCACATGGGAATGGGCCTGCCTTTCAGACCCTCATCAATGGAAGGAACATGGTACCAAAGTAGTGGCAGCTACTACTGCTATTCCAGGCTCATTTGGACATCCACCTCACAACCCTGTGGAGAAAATTTCCAGTGGATACAAGGCTTGGGAGTTTCATCTCTACCTCTATGGCCTTGCACCAGTGCTTTTGCATGGTGTTCTCCCTGATCAATACTGGCACCATTTCTGCAAGCTCGTACACACTGTCCACTTGATCTCACAGCATAGCATCACCAGAGATGAACTTCTCATGGCCCATTGTCTCTTCATGGAGTTTGTACTCGAGTTTGAAGACTTATATTACCAGTGTAACCCCAAATGCCTTCACTTCATATGACAGAGCATTCATGCTCTCACTCACTATGTGCATGAAGTTGAGACCAAGGGTCCCCTCATGTGTGAATCACAATGGGTAATGGAATGCATGATTGGGAATCTAACTGAAGAGATGCATCAGCATGTTGAGCCATATGCCCATCTTACACAGATTGCCATCTGTCATGCCCATACCAATGCGCTCAAGTCAATCATCCCATGTCTTGATGAATACAAGGACAAATCACCAGTTCCCCACTGGTCTGAACCTGCAGGTGATGGGTATTACCTTCTCCCCCAGCTTGAACACACTTGTAATCAGACAACCAGATCAGAGATGCTTGTGATCTTGGACTATTTTGAGAAATATGATGGCACCAATTCCCCTGCACTACAGTTTACCACACAAAATGGCCTTGTCAAGGTCCACCAATGGGCATGCTTGCTTTTACCAAATGGCCAAAAGTGTTGATCAGTTTGGTGCAGTAGGGAGCACAAGCCAAATGCTCAAAGAGCTTGTAATGTCAACATAAGTCACTCCTCGCAGTGTTTTCTTGAGCTCTACTGACAATGTGCAGTTCACTGATGATGGACACATCAAATGCAGTCTCTTCCATTTTTTTTTCCAAGCACAAATGCAGCAGAATGCTCCCCCAACTGCACTTGCAATGGTCTCATGCTATTCCTCCCCAAGTCCCCAGCTCCTCCATGATTCAAGTGGCACCCTCTTCGTGTGTAAATATCTTGGCAATAGCATGCTCATGGTCATCAAGGTGGCTGATATTAAGCAGGTGGTAGCAATGGTACCTCACCAGATTGATGGAGATGACTGCTTTTTTATGTTTGAACAGCCAGGGTTGGATGTCACAAGCCTCAGAGGATTCTTGATTAGTGATGAGGATGACAAAGATGGGGACCCAACTGCAACTGGTTGAATTTCATTACACAAAAATACATGTACCTGCTGTGCTAGTAAAGAACTCCACAGCTCAATTTGAACTTCTTTTACTTCGCAACTGGGCACAGAACAGACCACGACCAACCAAACTTTGTTTTGAAGACATACATGTACATGCTCATGCTACTAAAACATATGGGAATACAAAAACGAATGTTGTTTTTTGTTGAACTTGGAATGTGAGTGGCAAAATGAAATTCAAAAGTGTAAAGTTGGAATGCAAGCACTGAAAAGTCCAATTGTGAAATGGAAAATGTGATCAAAAGTCCTGATGTGTGCAAGATGGAGAAACTAGAGCTCCTCGATGTTGAGTAGGCTCAACAACTTGTTGAGGGGGATTGTCTTGTTGTTGTTATTGTCATCACAAAAGCCCTTGTGAACAACAGCTGCTGGGATGGTTTTCAAAGCATCATATCCTGTGACAGAGGTACTGGCAGAAATCTTCTGGAGTGCTCAAGGACGAGGGGGGGGGCATGGCATGCCACTATCGAAAGCCTTGCACTTGCATGTGTATGCAATTTGATCCTTGGGGAATCCATGCAGTTCAACTGGGACAGCACCTACTGCTTTTGCTGGGGGTGTGCCAGCCTCAGACTGCAGAGCTAGTGTTACTGTGACTTTGGCATCATTGTTCATAATCATCACACCTGGACAATGGTCACAACTGAGAATATCAGTATGGGCTGTATGCATGCATACATACAGCGAATTCTGGTTGTCTTTGGATCATCAGAATCATCAGAATCAATCACAGTACATTTACAGGGTGTTTTCAAGTGAAGGATGAGTTTCTAAAAGCACAAGTAATCAGCAAAGCATGCAATAGAGAAGAAATATTGCATACCATTGGACCTGCCTTTTCAGGGGTGAAGTTGATGATATATGCAGGCCAGTTTTGGAGTATGTTGTCCACCTTGAGAATGATTACATTTTCAATGAGTTTCATGGTTGGAGGAGCTGCTGCTGACGTGGTGTTGGTATGGAGGAGAGAGTGCATATAGGCTATCTGGTGTGATACAAATAAGATGACTAAGCCCTGTCTTTGTGTAGGTTACCAGCCTCATACACCATTTCCTATTGCACTAGGCTCCATGCTCCCAACTCTGCCCAGCATCACACCTGTGACAACTGGTAAGGTACTTGGAAGGCATGCCTCAGCAGATTCCATTCACAGCAAACATGGCGATTCTGGGGACCAAAGCAACTTGCTTATCAGAGCAAGTACTAGTCAAGTGTGACATGAGTTTGGGCAGGACTTATCAAATGACTGGACTTTCTTTGCAAGTGTACCATCCCATACTAACATTAGGAAAATGACTGACACTGTTTTTTAGGAAGTGCCATCTCACAGTATCAGCAGTTCGTCACATATGCCCAGGTCCCTAGCTAGCTTGCATGGGCCTCCCTCAACACCATTATCTTCATCATCCCATCTTGAGCTTCAGCCAGAGAAGGATTCTGTAGAGTCAGAGAGCCAGGAACATTCTCTCCACCATGAACTAGTGACAACTAAGTAAGCAACTTGTGTGTATGTGACATTGTATGCTAATGCTCTTTGGATCTGACAGGGAGATATGCCAGCAATTACTTGAGTCCATAAATTCACTCAGCAATGTTTCTGGTGGGATGAATGTCAATGATCCATTCTTAATACTACTGCATCAAGTTCACCAGGACTACACAGTGCCTCACTATAGTGCCAATGAACTCCCAAATGTCAAGTACTTCTGGAAAGCAAATTTTCTCTGTGATCACCACAATGGCCATGGATACTTGAAAACTGTGTGAGACAATGATTCAGGCACCCTTGGTTTCCTCAAAGACATCAACAGTGTTGTTATGAGCAAAGATGAACAACAATGTTTCCATGACTATGCACATTCACTGCTCCACTGCTTACAGAAATTTGGGTATGCCCCTCCAACATGGGCCAAGGTATCCTCACCAGCACTCAAGTTCTTTGCACATTCTATGTGGATTAAGTTCAGTGCCTTCTGTTACTGCGCAGATAATTGGAAGGACAACATGTTCATGTCCATGTACTATCCTGGTTGGACTGGCCACTCCCATGATTCCGAAGGCATTGCTCTGGATATCAAGGAAGAGAGAAGTACTCCAATGTTGCCAAATGAAACAATTCTGCAAAAGCAACCACAATCAATTTCTCTACCTCTGACTCCACAGTTCACAAAGAAGAAAAAGGAAGTACAACTAGAAACCCCACTCTCAGGCTCCAGTGGCAGTTCTTCACATGTTGATCTTACTGTGGCAGACCAGAACAGTCCTGCCAATGTTGTCCAAGATGACAACCTCATTGATGATGCATACAAATGCATCAAGGTATGTAGATTTGCAATGGGCCTGGTCTATTGTCTAATGTTTTGTATCAGATTGTGCCCATGATCCCTCCCCCTCAAATAAATCCTGCTTTAGCATTTGAATGAGAGCCAGAACTAATGACTCAACCAGTAGGCTTGCAAGCATTGGTCCTCTGCCAACTTCTTGGAGGACTTAACTCAGCAAACTTGACAGAAATCAATGTGATTGCCACTGACCCAATGCTGGCACCTGCCACTCCAGTCTCACACCCTAACCCAATGCCAGCACATGCCACTCCAGTCTCACACCCTAGGCCTTTGTCAGTTTCAATGGCCATGGCAGTGAGTGATGCAGGTGCAAAGAAGAAGCACAGTGTGACAGACAGAAACTTGACAATGCATGCAAGTCAGACTTCCACAACACCCTGGTAAGTGAGCTCTCTGGGCTGACTCAATGTAGGACAAATCTGATATTCTTGTAATGCATTGTTTTTAGGAACTTATGTGCAATCAATTGGTGCAAGGAACACAAGGGCAGGACTGTTGGTGAGTTTGCAGATTACTGGGATACACTGGTGTGGAACAATCATCCATCAGTGGAGGTAAGGTATGCTCTTGTCTCTCAAAAGTTTGTATGGCATCTCCCATAGGAGTACAAGAGGAAAGCCACCATGGTGAAAGAAATGAAGAAGAATGCTATGCAGTCAATGTTGTCCTCAACTGTCTCAGTTCACATATCCAATGGCAGAAGGTCAAGCAACCCAGAAGCCTTGAATATTCCATCTGCCATCTTCAATGTTTAGATTTCTCCTGTCTGTGGCATGCCATGGCTTTGCATCCAACTATCATCACAGGTACAAGTACAATGCTTTGTCCAGCCTTTGCTTTGTTTGCTTTGCATACTCTTTCCTTCACCTACATACACCAGTTTTCTGAACATTCTGCATGCATATGCATCCATTTGTACATTCACACACACTGCATGTTCTCACAGAACCATGTGTGTAGTGCCACATTGTAATTGTCTGGACTACTGTACTAGTATAATGTCATGTGACATGTCATATAACATTGATGAGTGTCATTTTTGAAAATCTGTACTGCTAGAATATTCTCCTCAAGATTGTCAGATTCAACTTCGCAAAAACAAACTCCCTTGCAGCTGAGGAATTTCCCATGTTCTCACCAAACACAGTGTTCAATTGGTGTCAAGGAGTTTTTGTGGGTTTTGACTGGGACTGATGCCAGGCACAGTGTGAGTCAAAGTGTGGAAAGTTGGTGAAAACAAAACAAAACCAACACCAAAGACAAATAAAGAGCAAGTGGTGGTGTACCTCCACAGAACCTGGAGGGCAGAAGAATCTAATGTGGGGGGTGCACTGTGATACCAGGTACTCCTAGTGCAAGTCATTGATGAGTTACACAGGAGAAGATGAATGAATGATGAGAGGGTGAGGAATGCTGAACAGAGTGAAGGTATTCAGCCAAAAGTACTCCTGGCACAAGTCATCAACAAGTTATGCAGGAGTAGATGAATGAGGGATGACCATGAGTGGGATGCTGAGTAGAGTGACAAGCTTCAATAGGACATGCTCCTGGCACAAGTCATTGACAAGTTATGCAGGAGTGAATGGATGACTAAGCAAAGGTTGCTGACTAAGTGAGGATGAGACTACAGATGATGAACAATGGTAGATAGACCCTTCTGAATGAGCCTCAACTACCAAGGATATGAATGATGACAGATAGACTCTTCTGAATGAGCCTCAACTGTTAACAATGAGTTATGCACTGAACTGACTGCTTGAGTGACTGCTGAATGCTTCTGGATTGCTTGGGTTGTAGCTAAGTACATGGGGATTTATATACTGTGTGTGAAGTACTGGTTTACCCTTGGGTGACCAGACTTCAAGACTGGGTGACAGGGGCTAAGTCTGGTTGACCAGGGTCAAGGCCAGGAGACAGGGGCTAAGTCCAGTTGGACTGGAGTTAAGGCTGGAGGTCAGGGGTTAAGTCTGGAGGTCTGGACTTAAGACTGGGAGCATGGGAACAAGGCTGGTAGCATGGGAAACTGACTGGTCTTGGAGAACACACAGGGGAAAGCTGGTCCAGGGTTGGATCTACCTCCCTTGGTCTCAGCTTATGTGCTGTACCCTTATGCAAGCTGGGGAGAGGTCCAGGACAGGGGCTGGGGATAGCCTAAGGCTCAGCCTTAGCTATTGAGTAGACTTGAGGGGTAACATGGAGTTGAGGGTAATACTAAGTTGATATTCTGACTGGAGTGCCATGAAGTATGTGCAGGGGTTAAATACATGAGACCAGTCCAGAGTAATGAACATGAAGCTGGACTTGTTGATAAGCTATTATAAAGATGATTAGTGTCAAGTCTGGGCCTACTCTGACCAACTCCAACACTAAATAGAGTCTGGGGAGGGTTCAGAAGCAAGTCCAACACAGAAGGATAGAACTCTGACCAGCAGAGGGTCAGCAGGGATGAAGTCCATCAAGACAGAGGTGGAGTGGAGTGAGGGCATCAGGTTTAGCTCATGCACTACCCCCTTGCACAATCTCAGCCCTTGTATTTCAGAGGGAGAGAACAGACAGATAGTCAGAGGTAACTCTGACAGACAGAAGATGGAGACAGAGGGAGTAGGAACTAAGTTGATATTCATACTGAAAAACAGCAGAGTACAGTACATGCTTTTATACTCACTACAGAGGTACAATAATTGGAATCAGAACTGACATACAGAGACTTGTAAATTTTCAAGTAAAACTTCCTAGACAATGAATGAAGGGAAGGCAGAGGACATATGAACAGGTAACATAGAACAACTTGAAAAGGAAACAGTCCAGGTGCTGGACCATGTGGTGCACAAGTTGCAGAGTACCTGACTGCATGCTGTCAGGGAGAAGTCTGAAGGGAGGTCACATGACCACTCAGATAACAGCCCACATGGTCTGGTGGGAGACCAGTACAGGTCCAACAGCAGTCAGAGTGGAGATGGTTCATAAATGACAGAGGGCAGGCAGAGTTGGTGTGGAGTGAGTGAATGACTGGCAGAAAAGGGTGCAGAGTGAGTGAGGACTTAGGATGAATGCACAGTCATGACAATCAGCAAGAGAGGATAGCCACAGAGGCTGTGCTGAGACTAATAGTCAAAGTCTGGGTGACCAGCATAACCAGAGTTGGACACAGGTTTTGTACAGTAGCAAGGATCAGCAAAGGGGACTAAACTAAGTATAGTGCAAACATGGGAAAACAGACTGGAGTTATGTCTGGGTGACCCAGACATGGATCTGGGAGAACTGGGGTGGAGCAGCACAAGGCCAGGAGGCCAGAGTGGACTGGAGACAGGGGTAAAATACCAGACTTGAATTATTTAGGCTGGAGTTGGGTTTCTTAGGGCCAGAGTTAGGTTTTCTAGGCTGGACTAGGACCAGACTTGACCAGAGATAGGGGCTAGGGGTTCAGAGTGGACTGGGCTTGAGTCTGAGAGTCATGGATATGACACTGCAGGGGGAGCACAGCCTATGACAAACAAGGCACAAATGCTTGGTAAGTAATGAGTAAGGACTGTAAGCAATGAGTAAGTGAGAAATGAAAAGTAAGCAAGCAAAGAGGATTGGTAAGTATTGGCAATGAATGAGTCAAGGACAGTCAAAATATCACAGTATGAGTCAAAGAATGTCAGAATCTGAGTAAGTGCACTGATATCACATTAGGGGGCGGTGATGCAAGTCAGATCTCAGTGGAGACATCTCTAGATCCAAAGATGGCATGACAGATGGACAGTGTTTCCTGATAGGGAAGTATTAATTCCAGGACTGAAGGGCATGAGTCAGGCATCAAAGGGCTAGGGCATTGGGGGTCTGTGGGGCAATGGGAGCATAAGCAATCACATCTCCCACCCATTTGTCTTCTCAGCAAAGTTGACAAAAGCTTCATGAATGGAGCTCTGATGGAGGAGGAGAAGGGGGGATGTCTTCTGCTGAATCTTGCAGTAAAAAGGCAAGATGCATGTCATACTCATCATGGATGCAATCAGGGAGGCTGGAGAACAGTAGACCATGCTGCAGCTGTCACAATGTGGAGAATTATGGATGAGATTGGAATAAAGATGGTGCAGGGAGCAGGGAGGAATGATCCACATGCTTCATCAAGAGGGGAGACTGAAACAACCACATAAGACCTTTCTAACCAAGTGACAGACCTGAGGCAACCAAAGAATGTTCTTCTGGAAGTCATACTGACAAGGAGAACATGCTGACCAAGCCACACAGGATGGGACAGGGCTGATGATGATGGGATGAACCAGGGGGCTTCAGGATGGAAGCTGGTGGGAACACCTGGCAGATATGTGTATCCACTGTCTCTGGCAAATGAGACAAGCAAGATGATCAACAAAGAGGTGCCTCTTCTTGCTGTTGGTGCTGCACAGGTAGGTCATGTTGGTCTGGGTGCAACAAAGACAGCTGGTAGAGTGTTGGCCAAAAACACCAGTAATAATCCTAATAAGGCTCACTGAGGGCTCATCACCTCAACATTTGACCTTGCCCCAGTCACACCACCCACCAAAGCATCTGCTCACTGGCTCTCACCCACTCTTCTAGCCTCTTCAGCCTTTCACATGGCTGCTACCCTTTGCACCTCAGCCTCTTGGTGCACCTTTTCTTCCTTGAGCTGGGCCTGCTCTTGCCTCTCAGCCTTCAACCAGGCTTCCTCTTGGGCTTTTGCTTTGTGCCTCTTGCACTTGGCCAACTTGCCCCAGATGGCCTGTTTGTCATCACTGCCTACCTGCAGCTTGACACTCATCACCTGGGTCAGGTCAGGCAGGAGGTCTTGGTTGTATGGTGTTTGGGACTGGTGAATAGACATGTCAAAGTGGGGAACCAAACCAGAGGTTGACCAGTCTTAAGTCCACCAGTTTTCAAGGTCAGACACCAAAATTTTGTTCTCAGCATTGTCCTCATTGGAGCCTTGTGGGCTTGGCTCCAAGAGGGGGATACTGTCATGACCATGCCTGGACTACTCTAGACCAGTTCTACCCCAGTCTCAACTGGTCTTGTCCCACCTCTACCCTGGTCCTGGCCTTGACACTTCAACCCAGGAATATGTTAGCTCATGAGGCACTGCAAAGCAATGCCAAGTTGTTCACTCAGTTGAGCTGGACCAGTATAATACCTGGCCCACCACTAGTCCTGCCCCAGTTCCTGGTAAACCTTTGTTCATACTTTGCTTGATAATATTATTTGTAACATCATATTTACCAATCTGTTTACCAATCACCACTGTACCAGTGCAACTGGTCTCCAGTACTATGTTACACTTAGCTTACCTTTAGTATTTAAGCTGCAGGAACAATTGTTTAGCCTCAGTCTGAAATCAAACAAGTCTCATCTAGCCCAGTCTCCTCCTGCTTCTGCCTCTCAACTGGACTACAGCCCATACAAGGGAATAGAACTGCTCCTCAGTTGCTAAGTCCAGCTAGTCCAACCTTCTAGTATCTTGTATCCCCTCTGCCCCCCAACCAGACTCCAGACTGGCTTTGGACTGGCAATGAACCAGACTTAACAAATGCATGCATGAGAATATTGATCTCAGAGATCCTAAGTATTGTCATCTTGATCACTTGCATGAAATGCTCATGGAAGATGGTGACCTTAACCCAGAGTTTGATGAAATCAAAGGTTGATGATTGCAGCATGATGACCTTCCAGAAGATGAATGATTGATAATTCAAATGTTGAAGTTGCATGGCCACTGTGATGTTACCTGCACTCAGCATCAGTCAGATCTTGG